TATACTTAGACAACTAATTTTAATAATAAAATATTATATTCAAGCCATAATGATAATTATAAAACAATTTACAATAAAATAATAATTATGGGGTTGAGATTGGAATATAAGATAAAAGTGACGGTGACAAATGTCTTGATATTTTATATTTTTTAAAACACGTGTTATTAGTGAAACTCGTGCATCTATATTATGAGAAAGTAACTTATATTTAAAAGTTATCCATTTTTACTTTTACACATTTTTTTAGTTTTATTACTTTTCTATGATTTTTAATTTATTGTGATTTATAATTACTTAATAATTTAAAAATTATAAAAATTTAATTTAGAAAACTTTCAACTTATAATTTAATATAATATATATATATATATATTTATTGATGATGCAAATATTTTTCTCACTTTCCTGAGATAAAAAATTTATATAAGAGATAAATTTAATTAAAATAAATCATCGTAAAAATCTTATCTACAATTCAATCATGATATAAGCTTTTTGAGAAACTAAGTTGATTTTATTTACCAAAAATATCATCATTATATTATTTGACCAAAAATTGATATTATTTAACCAAAAATTAGCATTAATTATATATGTCCATATACATTATCATATATAATACTCCAGATAATATTTCTAAACAGAATAAATTAAATAGTTACAATTTCAAAGTTTTTAATTATATACAATCAAAATTGCATATTTTCAAATAAATATTGCAAATAAATATAATTATACCAACTGACACAAACTTCTGACCGAANTATGTTCACACTTGAAAAATAAAAACCCTAATCAGAAAATCAATTCTAAAAAATAAAAATCCACGTCACTACGTGTTTAAATGGTCACGTCAGCCAATAATTATGATATAATTCACTGATTGATGTTATGAACATCTTATCGTTAACTCAAACGTAAATTATAAAATTAAAAAACATTTCCCATAGAACAAAATTGACGAAAAGAGACAAAAGCCTTTCTTAAATGAAAAGTAGCAACACTCACTTTTTATTTATACTTAGACAACTAATTTTAATAATAAAATATTATATTCAAGCCATAATGATAATTATAAAACAATTTACAATAAAATAATAATTATGGGGTTGAGATTGGAATATAAGATAAAAGTGACGGTGACAAATGTCTTGATATTTTATATTTTTTAAAACACGTGTTATTAGTGAAACTCGTGCATCTATATTATGAGAAAGTAACTTATATTTAAAAGTTATCCATTTTTACTTTTACACATTTTTTTAGTTTTATTACTTTTCTATGATTTTTAATTTATTGTGATTTATAATTACTTAATAATTTAAAAATTATAAAAATTTAATTTAGAAAACTTTCAACTTATAATTTAATATAATATATATATATATATATTTATTGATGATGCAAATATTTTTCTCACTTTCCTGAGATAAAAAATTTATATAAGAGATAAATTTAATTAAAATAAATCATCGTAAAAATCTTATCTACAATTCAATCATGATATAAGCTTTTTGAGAAACTAAGTTGATTTTATTTACCAAAAATATCATCATTATATTATTTGACCAAAAATTGATATTATTTAACCAAAAATTAGCATTAATTATATATGTCCATATACATTATCATATATAATACTCCAGATAATATTTCTAAACAGAATAAATTAAATAGTTACAATTTCAAAGTTTTTAATTATATACAATCAAAATTGCATATTTTCAAATAAATATTGCAAATAAATATAATTATACCAACTGACACAAACTTCTGACCGAACTAGGTTTTTGATTGTGACATTTAAATATTAAGGACATATGTGAAGAATTTTTTTGCCAAAAACATTTAGAAAAAGAATTAAAAGATGAAATTTATTTTTTAGTAAATTAAGATTAAAAATATTTAGAATGAAAAAAAATCCAAATATTAAGGGCATATTAATATTTGGAGAACTTTTTTATCAGAAACATTTAAAAAAAAACTAAAAAGTGAAAATTATTTTTTAGTAAATTAAGATTAAAAAAATTAGAAATTTTAGAAAAAATAATTATATTTTTTAGTAAAATAAGATTAAAAAAATTAGAAAAAATATATAATTATATTTTTTAGTAAAATAAGATTAAAAAAATTAGAAATTTTAGAAAAAATAATTATGTCATAGAAAAGAGACTAAACCAACTTTGCACAGAGGAATTAAATTTGGCTGAACCTTCCTATATTACTGCATGGCATCTTCTGAAATTCTTCATGCATCGTAATCTTGCCACTCATTCTTCTAATATCCCTATACATTTTTCTCTCTTTCTGCTTCAACCAAAGAGATGCCTCCAAAAGGCAAAGGCAAAAGCAAAGGCAAAGGAAATGATGCACAGAAGAGGTGAGATTCATCTCTAGAACATGAAAAAAAGCATTTTGATGCATGAACTGTAATCTTGCTGCTTCACCATTCTTTTGACCCTCTTAGTTTTTTCTTCTTTTGATCCTTTATTCTTCTTTTATCTTATTTTCTGTTTCACCATTGACACTATATAAGGTGATTTTTCTCTGTCATGTTCTTCATAATACACTGTAATCTTGAACCTTATCTTTGTTCATTCTTTTTCAGTTTCACCAGTTCTCCAGAGAAAAAGACTGAACCCAGCAGGTCTCCCAGAAAACCAAAACCGATTCCAGCAGACAGTACAGCAGAATCATCGAGGTTATGATTCTGAAATCATTAACACTGAAATCACACACAAATGCTGAAAAACCAGTTTTCTGAAGCGGTTATGTTTTACATAAGTATTCTTTGACTGTTCTTGTTTTCTGTTTAACCACTGACATTATGATTTGATTTTTCACGTCACTTTAGAAAAACACATACAGTTCTTGCATGAATTCATTTTGCTGTTTATTAATGTTCTTCGTATATACATTGTAATCTTGAACTTCATTGTTCTTCTTTCTTGGTTTCAGCAAGTCTCCCAATAAACGCAAAAAGAATACAAAGGACACCGCAACATCGAGGTGATGATTCTGAAATCATACACAAATGCTGCAAAACCAGTTTTTCATGAAAAGTGATTCTGAAAAGTACAGTGATAAGTTTACACCATTTTGATATATCTCAGATATTATTTTGTCATTGTATTTAGAGTTCATCAACATAATAACAAATAAATGATGAATAATTGAAAAAATATAAAAATGTTATTAAAAAATCTGTGAAAATATATTTTTTCTTCTGAAAATAGTTATTCACTCTATACATTCATGTCATTCTCTTGACCCTTTTCATCAGTGCATCATACTCTACCTGAAAATGTTGTTCACTTTTATTTTTCCATGAAGGGTCTCGGAAAATCAACCGATTATTGATCCATTTCATGGTCTGTTGAACCCATCACCAAGTCATAATGAATATTTAGAGGATGCGATGTTTTTGAGAAAACCAAGGATCGAAGAACCGGAGATCCCTGATGTTCCTCTTCTTCCTCCAGGGTATGAGGAACCTCCACGTAGCTTTGGGGGTTTGGAAGAAATTGTGGAATTGGCAAAGCGACTCAACAGAAGAAAAGATTAAATGTGAACATTCAATAAACAAACACTTGTTCAACATAACATTCTTTCTATGTTTTTGTCTTTACAATGTGTAAGTAAGCATTCTTTGAAGCAATATCCTATTTGCATATTCTTTTCAGATATGGAACTACAGTTTAGGGCTTCATGGTTAAAATAAATGTTCTTTTATGTAAGAGAATAAAGCAATCTTAATTGAAGTCGTATATGATTGGTGAGAAATATTAATGAATTGATATTTCAATTAGTGCATATGATTTTTCAACGTTGTTTTTGCTAAAAATTAAAATAAGCCACATTTGTATATATATATATTTTTTAAAATATGGTGTTGGAGTTTAGGGTTAAAATATTGTTTATGTTAAAAAGTTATATTTGGGATTTTTAGAGATATAAGAAATCTAATTATTTAGTATTAAATTCGTATACAATTTGTTAAATACTATTAATTAATTAATTATTTTTTTGTGTAGAGTGTTATGCTCACTTAATTAGGAAGAGTCAGATCATATTTTTCAATACACATGTTCATATAAATTAGAGAAAATATATATATATATATATATATATATATATATATTAAAATCATAATATAAAATAGTGTTTTGTACTAAGTCTCGAGTATTTTGTGTTGTTTTTGGATTTTGATGAGTTTGTGGTTGATGTTTTTTGTATTGGTTGAAGTTATTAGTATTTGCTTAGGGTTTTTTTGAGTTTTATGGATGTACTTAGTGAGCTTATTTAAGAATAAACATTTACTAAGTGGAGAAATGACAAAAAAAAATGAATAGAAAACATGTTATGTGTAAAGATTTTTTAGAGAAACAAACAAAAAAAAAGTAAAAATCTGGTCAAGAATAAGTAAAATTAAGTAAAATAAAACACAGGACTAATACAAAATATTAAAATCTTAAGAAATGATAATTTTTATTTTTTAATGTAAAAATATTATGTCTTGAAAATATTTGATAAAGTAATAATTAACATTTTTATTTCATCAACGTAGACTGAATTTCAATCCATCATAATAGAACCTTCGAATCTCAAACGTATATTAAGTGGTATATTTTCTATACAGACTGAGTGTTTGTCTGAAAATTGAGGAAAAACACATATCAATATTTCAAAAAGAATGATAAGATAACGTTAGATCAATGCATAAATTTACCACTGTCAATACAAAATATTTTTTGTTCTTTTATTTTTAACAATTTATCATCGAAATCTTTTGAAATATATCGTCAACTTTATGGTTTGATTTGTTTTATCTGGTGGGGTTGTAATTTGTGTAGAACATGTTAGCATTGTTAGAGAATAATGCATTAATTAGAGATAGGTTTGGTTTTTTTTTCGTATAATTGAGGAATGTAGAATGATTGATTATGTTTGAATTAAGTACCACAAAAAGAAAGAGAAGCCCTTATTCGTTGGTGTTTGTGAGAGCATATAAATAGCATAGTCCTCTTCTCCTTTTCCACATCACATATACACAACGCGCAAGATCCATCATATCATCTTCTCTTCTCTTCAATCCAATGGCCGATCAACTCACCGACGACCAGATCGCCGAGTTCAAGGAAGCCTTCAGCCTCTTCGACAAGGACGGCGATGGTCTCTTTTCTCAGATCCCTTTTTTATTTTTTTTTCGCTCGCTTAGATTAGATCTCATTTCAATTTCTCTCTTTTTTTCGTACCCTTTTGATTATTTTCATAAATTTCTAGTCTTTTCCTCTTTGGGTGCTTCTCCTTTCGTTTTTCGCGTCTTGATTTATGTGGGTGCGGGAGTGAATTGGATTTGCATTTTCGTTGAATATTTCCCCCCTTTTCCCGTTTTTTCCTTTGCTAATATTGCATGTGATGTGACTGGTTTTGGGGTTGGTTGGCATAGATGTTTTCGGCCTTGTGTGAGTTGAGATTTGGTTTTGGGTGTTTGATTTCTCTTTCGGAATTGTTTATGTGGATGTGACATTTGGATTTGTAAGTAACACAACATAGGATGGAAAAAAGTAAACATCCGCTCCCATTTTAGGTGGATTTAGGAAATTAGAAGACACGGAGACGGATAGTGATTTGATGTGATAACTGATCTAACAGGAAAAGAAAATATATGTGAGAATGTATGTTTATAATTGTTCGTACAAGATGGACCCCTTTACTATTTGTTGAGTTCATTTCGGTTCCTTTTATTTGATTTTCAACATGTATCCCAGTATCAAATAGCAATTGCATGGTGCGCGTATCTCTGATAAGGATTGGAAACTGGGATTTATGATTGATCAAGTTTTGATGCTCTTCTTGATTACCATTGTTTAGTTGTGTGTGGTTATAATGAATGGAAGGAATTATTTTACCCTCAGTTATTGTTTTGTGAGTCTTGTATGGCAATAGATTTTACGCAAATGATAAAATTGACCAGGGCGATTCTGACTACACCCTCCTAGTGCACATTCTTGCCACGATTTGTGTTTGAAACTTTTGAACAAAACCGGGGATTGTAAATTGAGCAGAAAGGCAAAATTTTAGATCTGAGTGTTCATCATATAATATAGCATGTTAGGTTACACATTGTTGATGTGTTCTTCCGTGTTCAACCAGAAAGCTAATTGTCATAGTTTACGTGTTTTTGGGCCAAATTAACGAGATGAGCTTATGAACATGCACTGAATTTTTTTATTAAATTGGATTGGATCGTGCAGTTTGTTGTGAGGCTGAATCTCTTGTTGGTGTTGAAATGATGCAGGTTGTATTACCACCAAGGAACTTGGGACCGTGATGCGGTCACTTGGGCAAAACCCAACTGAGGCTGAGCTGCAGGACATGATAAATGAGGTTGATGCTGATGGGAATGGTACCATTGATTTCCCAGAATTCCTGAACCTCATGGCGAGGAAGATGAAAGACACTGATTCAGAGGAGGAGCTGAAGGAGGCCTTCCGCGTGTTTGACAAGGATCAGAACGGTTTCATCTCTGCTGCAGAGCTCCGCCATGTGATGACCAACCTTGGCGAGAAGCTGACCGACGATGAGGTGGACGAGATGATCCGCGAGGCAGACGTTGACGGTGACGGGCAGATCAACTATGAGGAGTTTGTCAAAGTCATGATGGCCAAGTGAGGACCAACCAACCATAACAAAAAAATTTGAAAAGCACATGAACAGAAAAAGGACAGGGCAGATAAGTTTTGATGAGAATTCTATTTTCATTAGGACAAACTTCATTTGGGGTCATTAGTTTTTGTTGGTCGGGTTTGTTTGCTCTTATTTTAATTGGTATTGCTCATTAGTGTTTCTACTTCTACTTCTACTTGTGTGCTGTGTCCCTTTGTTTTAGTAGCTTCACCATGCATTTGTACTTCACTTGTCATCTTTTTTGGGTTACTACTATGAACCTCGAACAATTGGTTGCAATTTGTGCTTTTACATGTGAGTGAGTGACTTATACTGTTAATACCATCCTTATGCTATACATGATTGTTTGTGACCATCTTGCATTTCTCGACCTCACTCCAACAATGATGCAATGCAATGCAAAGCTAGTGAACCAAGACTGTATTTTGTTTCATTTCTCATGTGAAAAATATCATCTTTATCAGATGATGTTTCGCCCTCTTCTTTCTGATAATGGAAACGTCAAAACTAATGTACATAAAAGGCAAACGTCAAAGAAATACACGTTGTTTTGAACCCAAACAAACACACGTTCTTGAGCTAAACAATGACAGTAATAATAATGATAAGAAAATGGAAGATTTTACATTATTTATTGTTAGATTAAATGGTTGTTCGTGGGACATTGATGCCGCGCAGTTCAACCTGAGGAGGAAAGATTTTCCCTTACTTATGGCAAGAGATTATTAATTTATTTCAGAATGAAGCATACTTGTAGCAGAAGAAAATCCAAATCCAAATCCAAATCCAAACCCAAACTGTTTGTGAAAGCACAAGCAAAGTCAAAATCGTTCTGCCAAATGTTAACTTCCTGTGGCGGGAACAACTGCTGCTTTTGAAGACTACACACAAACCAACCACCTTGCTCGAAGACTTCATCTTCCTCTTTTTAACTTGGAAAAAGAATGGTTTTGCTCACACCTTGGGTAGAGAGACTCAAGAGAAGTGAGAGATGAATATCAAACGGTTATGTGATGTGGTAAAAAAAAGAAAAGACAGAGAGATAAGTAAGAGATGTGTATATATGATGGGGTGAATGAATCATTACTCATTTACACATATATTGGATTGCCAAAACTTATCTCACCATAAATCACTTTTTGTTAGTATCTGTACTAATTCAGGAAGATTTTTATCAGTGATGATGACAACCTTAAAAAAATGTTTAGTACATAGCATTCTGGTATTTCGTTAAGGTACCATCAAACCATATATTGTGGCCTCTTTCGTCTTTCAATTCTCACTCTCAGACTGCTGCTCAAGTTTAAACTGTGTATCTGTTATTTTTGTTTTTTTGAGTTCTTTGACGCCATCGTTTTCTAACAAAACGTCATTTTATAAAATTATAAAATGAAAAGATAAAAGAATCAAGTTAAAAGGAAATAAATCACCAAAATAGAATCTCGATTATGTTCATTAAATGATAATGAGATGTGCTAATAAATTTTAATTAATAATAATGATTATATTAAAAATATCATGTTAAAGATTAGTTTGTTTATATTTCTCTTCTTTAGTTACATTGATACTAACTGCTGTCACTGGAATAAATTGGCCATTGATGTTGGTTTTCATTGTCTTTTTTTTTTTTTTGTTTTCTCGGAAGACAGTGCTATAATGATGAACCCTGTTATTGTTTACTATAAAAAGATAATTCAAAGGGGTTTTAACATTACAAACCTATCACAGCTAATATGTGTAAGATGAGAGTACAAAGACTAAAGGGAAATTATCGAAATTCTTTTTCATCATACACCCCGTTATTACTAAATGTATTCTTATACTAATAAGAAATCCATTTGAAAACTCATTTTAGGACATATTTTATGTCTTTCTGAAAGTTTGTTTTGAAAAAATCATTTTAGAACATATCATATATGTGTTGTATAATCAATATATTGCAAAAGAAAATAGCTTATGTGGTTACAATAAAATATAAAACAACTGCATTCTCCTTTTTACACAACAAGAAATATCATAACTAACTTTTCAGTTTCTTTTAATGTTACACATCTTATTTCGCAGGTCATTGTAGTGACTGTGAATGTTGGACTTTTCTCCTCTGTAAGTCAGGAGATAGTTTTCATTCATCTATACTATTTCTACAATTATAAATAGATCCTCTTTTACTCTTTCGAAGACACTCACATGTTTTTTATTCTCTCATTCTCCTTATTTTCTCTTTTCTTTCTTATAGTAGCCTAGGTTTAGTAATTTACTCTTTTTAAGAGTTTATATATACTAATTTTTAAGATCCTCAAAAAATATTGGGAAGTTCATGTTGTATGTTGGGAGCCTGCACAACAACATATTGCAGATAAATCCTTAAGAACAATGAATATACACACCTCAAGATTACACGGACGAGTGTTGCACAAAACTTGATTAAAAACAATAATAAAGTACACAATGATTATGATATAAAAACCAAAACAAGGAGAAACTCAAAACCAAAACAAGGAGAAACTCAAAGAAAGAGGAGATTTTTTTAAAATAAATAAAAAAGGGGGAAAGGGGCATACTAGAGTAGATCTTGAAGAAGTAAAGGGAAGAAAAAGGAGAGAACCCACGAAGCAGCTTCAATGCAGAATCATAAATCTCTAAACTTGAGCATAAAGGGTGCAGGAGAACAACTCATGAAACCAACCCATTTGATCCAAGAGTCAAAAGTTCCGGGCCATTGTGTTTTTTTGGGAGACATTGGCCATCGTATTCTTTCTCACCTTTCTCGAGAAAGAGATCAAGGTTTGCCTTCATCCACCCACAACAAAATAAACAGAAAGCTTCCAAATTACATAATTTTTCTATTTTTTTTAATTTATTAAATTCCATATCCAGCAGCATATTTTTTTAATAAAATATTCACTTCGGCATATCTACCTCAACACATTTTAACGCATTTGTAACAATTTAACGGTTAAGATGAAATTAACTCAATTTTACAAATATTTAAACTCTTTTACAAATATATAAATCCAAGTGAAACAATTTAAAATATGAAAATTCACTTGAAATTCTCGTACAAATACGAAACGTTTAAACCTAGTTTTTATAAATAAAAAATATATTTAACTCTTTTTATATAGTTAAAAGGTTTAAATTTCTATAATTTGGTTTTTGAGTGTCTATCTCCAAGCTGCTTCCATGATAATTTATTTCCCTATCATGATTTATTTTCCCTATTTGCATTTTCTTTTGTTTCTTAAAAAGAAACTTCACTGGTACTATCACAACCTTAGCAGACAGACAACTCTTTAAAGAATTTATCCATCGATTTTTAAGATCGTGTCTAATAATAATAATACTAATTCAGCTGATTTGAAATATCTTTAAAGAACTTATCCATACAATTATAATAAATCACTATTTATTCAAATATACTTTTAAATTATATAATTTATAAATATATTATAAAAAATATTTTTGAATTACAAAATGTAATGCAAAAACATATTTCAGATTGAGTAATTCAAACTGATTTCTAAATTGTATAATTTGAAATAAATTTCACATTATGCTATCTGAAATGCTTTCCATCTACCGATAATTTATTAATTAAGATTTTTTCCATTTTATTGAGGTGCAGGAAAAAGGGATGGAGGTGCTGTGAAAAATAACACGCTCCATTTAACCGAGCTATGTCTACCTATTGTTGTCTGTGCCAGTGACTTTCCACCCGAGAGAGGAATATCCAATTAAAACCCAAAACGCATCCCGACTTTACTCGTCAGTACTTTGATCTCCTACCCTGTTTTATAGGGTGCAATGGAAAAAGAAGAAGCTAGAATTCCAAACTAGAACTCTAGAAATTCTAAATAAATGCACTCGATAATTTTATTCCTCATAATATTTAAAACTTCGGCAAATAAAAGTGTGAAAATGAGACGTAAAAGTACAGATAAAATAAGAAATAGAAAACCAAAACTTCGAAATATTTATGGTTCTATAGTTCTATAAACATAAAAAAATTATTAGTTTTGAAATATTTTCAATAGTTATAGTTCTTATCATGCAATTTTGTGTTGTCTTTTCAAAAATTAAAACATTTCCTTAATGCATTCGACCTAAAGTTCAATTATTTAGACAGGACCGATATTCAATCCATCACGAAAACAATCGTTCATCATATTATACTTAAATTGAACCATGTCCATAAATAAATTAAAAACTTGTGTTATGGAAGTCATTTTTTCTCCTTTCTGACTTTTTTCTTTAACTAAATAAGAATAGGCAAGAATGCATTATAATCATCCTCATTTTCTCTTCATATTTTCTTTCCTCTTACCAAAACCTTCGACTAAATTTTAAGATAACACCAACCACAAGGGAAAGAAAAATGAATGATAGAACTTTGGAATTTTTCCTGTTTTTGTTGCCTACAATGCAAACGAAAATTTATAGCAATACGTTCTAAGGAATACTAACCACGCAGACAAGCTACTTATGCAACATAGCAAACCCTAATACGGGGCTAGTTTTACGACTTACTGTTACGGATCGGAGCTTCAACAAATCACGTGCACTAGACTAAAATTTCAGCTATTCTTTGGCTTGTGTACAATAGTTCGGATGTTCTAATGTAGAAAACATGACCAGCAACCTACCTACTTCAGCAGCTCTACAAACATCATATTTAAGGCAACCCCTAGTGTTATTTCAATATTCTAGAAGGAAAAGAAGCAACAGAGACTGAAAAAAACAAAAGGTTAAATTTATAAATCCGAACAGAAGTCTCGAGCGTATCTATAGACACAGGACTTTCATATACCGCCTGTCAGGACTATTATTTAAAAAATTTATCTTTACAGACTGAGGCTACCAAAAAAACAAAAAGTTTTATATAATTGACAAGCGTCACATATTTACCTCTTGAGTGGTTTGTAAAGGACAACTGTCACATATTTGGACTGGAATCTGTGAGTCAGTCCAAGGGCAACAACAGACTTTGAGGCCAAATTTTTCTCTATGAAGACGTGATTTAGCACTACATGTTGGGGCTTGGAAGAGGAACCTACATCAGAGTTCTCCATACCTAGGACAGTAAGATGCAGTTGCGAAGGAACAGACATTGGCTCCTTTGCAAAGTCCTCGTCAGCTGGAAATGCTTGACCATAACTGGATTCGGGGGAAGGTGGTGCTTCAAACTCAGACACGCCATCAGGGTTTTCTGGCACATAATCCTACAGGAAAACAATAACATTCAAATCAGTTTCTGGAAGAGAAATTAATTTCCCTAAATGGGATAGGAAAATATTAACCATTCTTGTGATCAGTTGAATTTTCTTTTGATATTGATAGTCAAGTCAATTTAAAGTA